GCTGAAGGCAGGGGGATGCTGCAGGCAGGAGAATGCTGATGGCAGGGGGATGCTGATGACAGCAGAACTGGGGGGCTCACCATGGTGGGCTCGAACTCCAGCGTGACGGCGCCCAGCGCATTCTCCAGGAGCCCTTTCCGGGTGATGTCCAGGGCCAGCTTCTCGGTGGGCTCCGACAGCTTGCGGATGTCCCACCACAGGACCTGCATGGGACAAGGAGCGGGTGGGTGCTGCAGGGGGTGCTCCCAGCCCAGCCATGGGTGCTGGGGCCAGGCTGCCCATCCCTGCCCTTTACCTGCCCGTCGGTGGAAGCCGAGAAGCACTCGGTGCCCGTTTTGGACTGCAACCAGACGGCTCCGTACACGGGGTCCCTGTGGCTGACCTCCACGGTGGACACCTCCACAGGAAAGCACCCCTTTCTGGTGTCCCAGTACGCTGGGAAGGAGAAGGAGCTCTCAAGATCTGCACCAGCTCTTTTGCTCGCCGCCCATTTCCCAAGGAGATGCTGCCCCGCTGCCCAGGCCAGAACGAGGAGCAAGCCCCCCTGGGTGCTCCCCCCATGCTCCCCAGCCCCAGCAGGACCATGCAAGTGTCCATGGGCTGGGTTCCTGCTGCTGCAGTCACTCGCAGCGATGCCCGTGGCAGCGCTAATGCAATTTGCACCTTCTGCAGCCGCGGCGCTGGGCGCTGGTAACGTTAAATAGCCGTGGGATTTCACCAGCGATCATCTCCACGGCAGATGCACTGCAATCCTCTGAGGCAATAAATCCCCCCCATGGCTCCCCCCTGCTCTGCACAGCAGGACCAGATGTGATCTAAGCCTGACCCTGGCTCTGCTCCCCTCCTGTGTACCCGAAGGGTGTCCCCTGTTGCTGCCTCTGATGCATGGAGAGGCCGTGGTTCAGCACAGGTTGGGCAGCTGGGTCATGGCTAGAGCACACATCCCCTCTTGCTCACTCCTAATTAAGCATTTGGATGTGATGGGGCGTGCTCTGCTGTGAAGGATGGGGTGAGGTCCCTCCCCTCCATCACCTGTGGAGTGGGTACGTAACATGTGCCCCATCAGATCCCATCACTGCTGCGAGCAGCAAGGACAACAGCAAAATGAGAGCCCCTCAGCTCAAGAAGGACAGGAACTGCTTGAAAGAGTCCAGCAGGGCCACAAAGATGATGGAGGGAGTGGAGCATCTCCTGCTGAGGAGCAGCTGAGGGAGCTGGGGCTCTGGAGCTTGGAGCAGAGGAGACTGAGGGGTGCCCTCATTCCTGGGGATCCATTGGGAAAGGGCAGTGTCAGGAGGAAGGAGCCAGGCTCTGCTCTGGGATGGCCAATGCCAGGACAAGGGCAATGGTCCCAAGCTGGAGCACAGGAGGTTCAAGCTGAAGATGAGGACAAACTTTGTGAGTGTGAGGGTTCTGGAGCATGGCCCAGGCTGCCCAGAGAGGTTGTGGAGTCTCCTTGTGTGGAGACACCCAAAGCCCTGGCCGTGTTCCTGTGTGACTGCTCTGGTGATCCTGCTCTGGCAGGGGCTGCACTGGGGGAGCTTTGAGGTCCCTTCCAGCTCCTGACATCCTGGGATGCTGTGAGCAATTAAATCAAAGGGCTGGCGTGGCCAAGTAACAACAGAGCCGTAAATGAAGCTGGCAAAGGAGGGCCCTTTTCCAAGCACTTGAAACAGCAGCACACGAACAATTCAGTGCATGAAGTGACAAAAACCGCCCTAGGCTTTTGCCATGCAAAGATTCGAGGCCGTGGGTGAGGGGGAAGCTCCAGGCCATGCTCAGGATGTTCCCAACCACAGCACTAATGACGTTACCTCCCTTGTGAGGCTGGATCCAGCCTCTTGCTGAATTAAACTGAAGCCTGGTTAGTGCGGCCTTGCTCCTAATCCGTCCCCCTTACCCATCTGCCCGTTGTAGCACCCCCCCAGCAGGACGTGCGAGTCTTTGGGGTTGTATTCCAGGCTCACGATGGGCGAGGACGGCTTGAGGACGAGCTCCGGCTTGTTGGGGATTTCTGCCGAGAAGGGAGAAGTAAAGAACAGAGAGCAAAGGCAGCGGCAGGGTGAGACCTCCCCCATGTCTAAAGCA